TACGTGACTTAATGTAATTAAATGTCAGAAATACGATGAGAGGGATATATGTTTTGATATAGTGTTTGATAAAGCGTTTTATTTGTATCTGTCTGGAGGCTTCAAATGTTGTACAGTTTGGTGATAAGCAGCAGTCTAATAATGTTCAACTTATTTTTCTTTTGTTCCCTCCTCCTCTTTCAAATTAATTTTGTGATGATTCCTATTACTTTTGATAAGTTTTCCACCTCTGTTAGTGTCTTTATCTTTAGAATATGAGGTTATTTGTCTATGTTTAGAATCAGAGGTCTCTTCTGAATTCTTGGGAGACGGAGTGTAACTGGAATGGGCTGAACTTGGTATGAAGTGGAGGGACAGATAGTGAGGTTGAGTTTATGGATTTTTTTGAGGGGAGGCAAATAGTATGGTCATTTGGACATGTTCTACAAAACCTTGCTTGCCAGAGCAGGAGGAGTTTCACTTGAAAGTCATTCTGCTAGGATTTGGGTATTTCAGTGGGAAAAATGGAAAAGCTTTAATCATTTTAGATAGTGATCTAAGGCTCTAGCTATATCCATTTTGTTAACTTTTCTACTATAAATATGTGTGCTTTGTGATTAATATATCCAGTAGCTTAAGAAGAAATTAAAGAGATATATTAAGATAGCAACTAGAAGGAACAGTTACCTGCCTTAGAGGGTAATTCCTACCTCGGAGAAGCAGGGTATAAATTCTCTTGTACCTACTGCAGGGGTGGTGACCAGGTCACTAATAGGATACAGAAGAGTAAGAGGTGAAATGTAGCACCAGGACCCCCCGCATACCTTCTCCCCCCACGCTGCTCTTTGAGCCTACTCTGTTAAAGAGCTTCCAGTGGAATTGTGTCTTCTGCTCTAAGGGTAACAACAAGGCACAGGTCTTGTAGGTACTGCAGATGCACTTTTAGAGATGAAGTTGACCAGGTGACCTCAGGTTACCTGCAGATAAAAGCCTTCCTCGTGCTCCCACCAAATTCTCCTTGGTCCCCAAGCTGCCTGTTTGTTTTTAGCTTGTCACTTTGACAAGCTTGACTGCACAGTGCCTGATTGGACTTCTAAACCAGATCACTTCTCGCCCTTGCTATTTCAGGATTGCCCAGTGTCAACCGTTTCCTCACCCTTGTCTCCCTAAAATGCACAAGATGGAAAAGATTGCTTCCAGACTGAGTGGCCAGCTCAGTGAACTCCTTAGCTCTGCTGGGCTAAGACGCTTTGGTTGTTATTGTAATAGAGATGTAGATGTAATCCCTTAATAGTTTTGGGGGCAAGGCACACACACTCACACACAAAATGAGTATAAATGGAAGGGCAAAGTGGCAAATAAATGAAGTAGGATTTAAGCACTAGAAGTATTTAGAAGACAGGCTGGGAGTATAGATCTGGGTAGAGCGCTTGCCTCGCATGTGGGAAGCCCTGGAGGGTCACACACACATACAAAAAAAGTTTGGGGGTGGAGATACAGCTCCATGGCACAGTGCCTGCCTGGCAAGCGCAAGGTCCTGAGTTCGATTCCCAGTACCAAAAAAAAAGAAAGAAAAATTTGGAAGGGAAAGTACTTACTGTGGGCCATCAATGTTAGGAGCACAAATCTCTAGTGAAATAATTGCAATAGTTTGTCGAGCACTTACTGCGTTATATCATTGGCCATTATTTTCAGTATCCTATGTAACAGCAGAGAAATGGGGACATTGAGGCAGTGTGATGCCTACTGTTCTACCGCAGTTATGGGGAGTGTTCTGATTCTAATGTAGTTAGCAGAAGACATAGTTTCTCTGGTTTTGAGCTATTGTAAAACAATGTAAGCAAGTATTTGTAATATTGGATTGGTAGGATTGACAGGGACTAGTGTAAAGCAGTTAGAAGAGCAAAGTGTTTTCAGACTTTCTGATTGTCCATAAAGATATTTGGTGTGTTAATTTACCCACCATTCTTATGTGTCTTATTGAAATAGGTCTCTAAAGCCTTCTGTTTTTCAGGCATAGCCCGCTCTTCTGAAATACATGGCAGGAAACGATCAGTCTTTTCCTTGTGCTCTTCTCCTCTTTGGGTTTTTTTCAGTCATCGGTTTGGTGTTCTTCCATTTTGTTTAAATATGTAAGATTTCCCATATTGGGATTGGTGAGGAAGCAGGCCTAGTGGGCTGCCAGGCCCAAATGGAAGAGTGTAGTAAATGCTTAGTGGACAAATGAATAGATCTATACATTCTAATTAACTGGAATCCAGCTTGCTTAGCACTGAGGAAGGCACCTTACACACTGAACCTGACCCCTTTTGCTATTGGAGGAGGGTGACATTGAAGGAAATGTTGGCTGCACTGACCTCACCCAGGGAAAGAAGAAAGAGCAGTCACAGGTGGCCCAGGTTCACAACTTTGTGCCAGTTGGTGAAGTGATATTATTTTAAACCAACTTTCATTCTTGGATGGTTTGAAGTTTGTCAGTTAATTAACTAGCATTGATTAAGTGTCACAACATTAACAGACCTTAAGAACGGTGAGGAAGAAATTCACCCATAGTTCTAATATCCTAATACAATGACCCATCATTGCTTTAAGAATATATTTTTATAGTTACCATCACAGTATTTGTCCAGTTCTGTGTGTTGTCTACCTAGCATTTTCAGACATACAAATTAGTAGTGAGAGCTACTGATTATTTTTGTCATTGTCTACCATTGCAGCATTGACCAGCACTGATACCTTCTTTGCCTAACCAAAAGAGCTTTACTGTTCGGTCAGCAGGTGGCACTCTAGGATAGGCTGTTCTATACGCCAGAGTCCTTTCTCTCCTTGCCTTGGTTTAAGAACAAAACATAAATCATAAAAACATAAAACTTCAAAAATTATATGAAACATTCAAAATTCCCCTGGGCAAAATATGTCAGAAATATCTAGGCATTTTTTATAATAATTTATTCACAAATATTTGTTGAACCAGACATATGAAGGTAGATTAATAAAATAAACTACCTGCCTACAAAGGGTTCAGCTGTAATCTGTGACAAAGATTTGTGAATAGCAGCCAGCCTCTAGTGTGGTAAATGCAGTGAGGGGACCAAAAAGGAAGTGAGCACCTCTTCTTTGTGGAGGAGGAAAGGTAGGCTTTATATAGTGGCAAGTAAACTCTGAATAGCAATAACATATTACAAATATAAAAAAATAAAATTTTCTTGCAGTATGAAAAGTTATAAAATGAAACTTCTAGAAGATTATCTAGACTTGCTCTCCCAAAGCCACAATTAACAGTTACTTTTTACTTTTTCCTCCCTGAAATCATCAAGTAGTTTGAACAGTAAATACAAGCTTCATGAGGGTGGAATGTTTTTCTTTAGTTACCAGCCAAATCTCTTTGCCTAGGAGCGATTGACATGTAGTAGGTGCTCAGTAAGTATTAAGTGGATTGACAGAATGAGATCTTTTCTGGAAATGTCACCAGCAGTGACTTGTAGAGATGGCTGGAGGAGTCAGGGCTTGAGTCTGAGGAAGCGGTGGTGTGCCTGTTGCAAGTTTGCAGAGGAGGCAGTAGCCAGGGAGGGAGACAGTGAGCAGGGGTATTAATGGGGTTCTGTGAAGGACAGACAGGAAGCAGGGCTTGGTGTCTGGTTAGATTTGGGGAGTAAAGGTGGGAGAAGGAGACTGATGCAGTGGGCTCTCTGGCTTCCGTGATGGGGAAGGGCAGAACCGATTTTTATTTGGGATGTGGTGATTGAAGATGCCTGAGGAAAACCAGGTGGAGGCACAGAGAAGGCCAGTGAATGTATATGTTTGGAGCCCAGCAGGGACTTCTGTGTAGGTAACAGGTTTGCTGTGGATTTCTTGGACACTTTTATCATGCCCATTAGTTCTGCAGATGAAAGAAATTGAAGCTGAGAGAAATAGCTTGTTTCTAAGTTTTTAAATGATGTAGGCTTTCCTCAGCTGGTCCATATTCCTGTTGGAGTCAGACTGGAATCTGCTTTTCCAGGACTCTGTCCACTGCCTCCAGAGCCCACCTGCTGGGGCAGCTGGGAGGGGTTGGCCTTATAGTGACTGCTCTGTTCTCTCGCTTTATTCTTCCAGGGAACATATGCTTGTTGAATTCTCTTGAAAGTCAGCAGGCAGTTCTCCCTAGAGGCTGAATTCTCTGTGTTGTCTCCTCCCAGCTTGCTCTGTGCGAACTCAAATCTGGATCAACCTAAGCTGCTCAGAACCGAGCTGAGTTTGGCTTGTTTTATTATGCCAGCAGTAGCTGCCAGTCCTCACTGCACCTTTCTCAATCAGGGCAAGGCTAGGACCGCATCTCTCAACAAGGACCTTGGGCAGATCAATTCACTGGCCCTCAGTCTTCCCCTTTGAACAATGGAGCAAGCAGAATCTCTTTTTCCAGCATTATGAACTCAAGAAGATACATTTGAACAATGGAACAAGCAAAATCACTTTTTTGGAAAATGTAGCCCCAGAGCTCTTACATATTGTTTTAAAATGTTATACATCTGGAAAAAGCATTGTTTTGCCCAATTTGGTATCAGAAAGAAAATTGGCTGTAGTGACTCCATTCTGACAGATTTCCTGAGTGCTAGTTTGTCTTTCTGTGGGAAGCAGGAGCAAACAGTGATACTGGGTGGAAGACAGCCAGGCAGTGGGCGGGCTGAGTGGTGAGTCCTGACAGCTGGTGAGGTGGAGGGAGGTGTAAGGACAACTGGCCAGCTAAGGCTGAGAGTCATGAGAGGATGAAGACGAACTCAGGAGGGTAGGTAGGGAGCTTTTACCAAGGCTGAGGCAATTCACTGGGCAGCTGGGGCAGCAGGATGGGCGCTGCTGCCAAGTCACTCTCCAGTGAAGGTATTGTACAGACAAGAGGACATTTGGTGTTACACCAAGGGGCAAAGTCAGAAAATGCAGCTAAAGGGAAGGAGGTGGACAGGGAATGAGATGTTCAGAAAAAGGGCAGGTTTACTTTTATTTAAGAAATTCAAAATTAAAGCAGCTTAGATGAGCTTGCATTTTTAAAAACAGGCAGCTAATGCCAAAACTTTGCAAACCACCACTGGAGCCCCTGTGCTCTAGCTCTTCTTAGGCGGAATTTGGGGTGATCTACCAGCACTCACTGCAGGCAAAAGCCGGCAGCTCAAAGTTGTGTGGGTGACGGCTCTGTCCTCAGGCCTGGCCACTGAGCTTGGGAAGACCAACCTTTATCACTGGGGTGCCGCCTTACCCTCAGGTGGGGACAGGGGGCATAAGTGAGAACAGCCTGCCTAAGCCTGGGTTATCCTGATTCCCTACAGTTCACCTTTTCCCACCATGATGATGATTCTGAGGTACTGATATCAGGAGCTAGGGGTCCCTAAGTAAGTTTTATACTTGAAGAAGAATCTATAAATTCATAATTTCATATATCAAGACATACCCTTAATCAGCTCTTGTATGTCAATTTTACTTTCAGGAAATGATCTTTTATTCATTCAACAAGTATGTATTGAGTGTATTCCTGAACTGTATAGTCCAGGAGGCTCCTGCAAATACGGGCATGGGCTGGGAAAGAGACCCGTCCTGTCCTGGCCCTCTCTGAGGTTTCTCCCCATGAGAGGTGAACCCCAGAGCCTGCTCTGTGGACTCAGTTCATTTGCATGCTGTTGTGTTTTCAACTTTTGAGAGTTGTTTTCTTTTCTCTTGGATTCTCAGTAATGTTTTTCTGCTGTTTGAGGAAGAGGGGGAAATTATTTGATGCCTTCACATAGGCAGAGAGAAAAGGAAGGGCCTGGGGGGCCCCGACCCCCTGAAATCAGGTTTGTAAAGCCTTAGCCAGTAGTGGGCACAAGGTACTGCTAAGCAGTAGCAGCACCCATGCTGGAAGCAGTGGTGCTGCTCCGTCATTCTGAGGAGCAGGCATTCCTGTGTCCCAGCAGAGTACCTGCCTTCTTTGCTCTTGGCCTTCTCAGTTCTGGGACCGCTTGTCCCAGGAGTATCCCGGATTGGCAACCCTTGCTATGTGCTGCCTAGCGTGCATCCTGTGGATAGACCCTACAGTTGCCAGTTAGTGAAAGTACTAACTAATTCCCTGATGTTCCGAGGGAATTTAACAAGGTGGAGTCAGGGAAAGGGGAAAAGAAGGATTGGAAGACCAACTGAAGGGCTGGTTTTGCCCCTGGGAACACTGTGCATCCAGGGCGTGTGATAACGAGTGCTCAGTCAGTGCCGGGGTCCAGGCAAACCCTGTAGCGGGCTGGAACAGCCCCGCGTTCAGTGCCAGAACCTATCGTCAGCCTGTGTGGCTCCTTGCCTTTGATAATAATGGAAATTAAAACTAAAGCACACATTTACAGGAGAAAGCTTTCATTAGAAAATGGGCGAAGTGGTGAGGGGCTGTAGCGTGAGGGGCTGGCAAGCATCAAGTCAGCCCTCTGCAAAGAAGAGTAAGACTGGTAGGAAAGGACTGCAGTTTGAACAGATGGGAGAGGCACATTCGGGTGGAAGGGTCCAGATTGGCCCACTCCCAAGGGGAGGAGGCCAGCTTGGAAGGAGCCGGCGGGCTGGGGTCCAGTGGGTCATTGTCGCAGTCCTGCTTTCCTGGTTCTGGAACCCTTGTGGCATGAAGGGCAGTTTGTTCCCTTGAAATGAGTGTCTGTGCTGGTTTCACTCACGTGGCGCTCTGCTTTTCCTGGAATCCAGGCGATCACAGTAGATGGCTAGGATGATGGCTGAAGGCTTCTGGGGATAATTGGATGTCCCTGTAAATGTCTTATCTTGGTGTCCTCAGTTTTGAGGGGGATGATATCGTGTAAATTCAGAGCAAAGCGACCTTATTTTGCCAACTTTTAGACATTCCCTAAATGATCAACATACCCATTGGCAGAGCTGGGAAGGAATTTGGCCCATAGATTTACAGTAACAAAGGATACAAAATGAAGGTCAAGTTCTTAGTTACCTACTGGGGCATCTGTAGCCCCAAATGAAGAGTCATGGCTTTTAAGACCCTGACTGTCTTAGAAGAAAATGCAAATCATACTTTTAATGAGTAGCAGGTAAGGGCCTAGGACGCTTCCTGTCCTGAAGCCCTGTGGTGGTCTCTGACTATGTCAGTGATGGAAGTAGAACTCTACAGAAGGTTTCCACACCACCACTGAGGCAGTGGCTCACGTACCTCAGGGGCCAAGGGCAGTCCAAGGATGCACCCGCGGCGCTTATGCCATTAGCCTTCTGTCTAAAACAGCTGCTGAGACCCAAAGTATAAATGAAGAGCAAAATGAAAGATAGATAATAAGGAATAGGGAGACAGATCTTTCCCAAATGGGAAGGGGCCAAGAGATGGGGGGGAGTGGATAAAGGGAATTAAGATGTTTTATTTACATCCACCAACTTTCCACAAGGCGTGTAATCATTATGTCCTGCAAACACATACTAATGAAAGATAAAAATTGAGGTAAAGTTCAAAAATAAAATGAATATTTTGTCTCTTGAAAAAAAAAAAAAAAAAACTGTTGAAAATATGACCCGTGTGGCATCTGATGACATGGTTTGGATTCCAGCTCTTTCATCCTGCTCAGCTGGCCTTCTTTGCAGAGTTACCCAATCTTCAGTGCTTCATTTTCTCATCTGAAAAATGGCAGAAGTAGGACTAGTATAAAGAGAGAATTATCCTCAGGCACTTAGCATGGTGCCTACCACCTAGGACATCTAGGCAGGTGGCACATAGATTTATTGCCAGCATTATTTGTGACTGTAAGGACCCAGAGGCTGGAGTTATGCATAGAAGGAAGGGATAACTTTGTGGCATATAAAAATTCCATTACTGATAGATAGTGGAGAGAAGGGTAGATGTGTGATAAAACAAATGCAGCTCGATATTCCCTATAGAATCTAGGTAAAGAGAATGTGGGTGTCCACTTTCATTATTCTTTAAGCTTTTCTATATGTTTGACATATTTCATAATAATGGATTCATAGTAAAAAGATTGGGACGAAGGAACTCCATCAGGCTGTAAAGATCTTCAGAGCCAACAAATCCGTAAACACCATCAGTGAATTGAATTGAGTAGGATTAAAAGCAACCTGGAAGAAGACTATGTACTCTTGTGAAAAAGAGATTATTTGCTTCTCTGAGAAGAGTGCATGTACCTGTGCCAGTGTTAATGTTTCAGTAGGCAAAGCTGTGGAAAAGTGGGATTAGAGGAAGGGAGGTGCTCAGCGACTAAGTACTTTTTGTTTTTTTCTGTGTTCCACTTCATTCCAAAAGAACTTGTGGTAAGTTGAAAAATACTTGGATTATAGCAAGAGAAAAATAAATGAAAGATATAAATGGGCAATAGTTTATGCACATAATACATGTCATAAGGTTCAAACAAAAGCTTTGAAAAAAGAGTGCAAAATTTGGCTGTGGTGCTGGGCTTAGTGGCATGTACCTGTAGTCCTGCCTACCCAGGAAGCTGAGGATCACTTGAATTCAGGAGTTTGAGGCCAGCCTTGGCACTGTAGTGAGACCCCATCCCTTGGTGGTGGTGATGGGGCTTAGCTGTGACAATAAGGGCAAATAAGAGTACATAGGATCCCAGTTCCAGTTTTACTTGGTTGCTGATTTTTCTAGGCATCCAAAATGGCTGGGTCTTTCTTTTCACCACTGATATTAATGTGTCAGCCAAAGCATTCTTGCAGAATAATCTAGAAAAATAATCCAAGTAGTGGACTTTAAGCCACTAACACTGGCTACCCACATGTGCAGCACTAGACACCCAGGATTCCCCCGTACCTTCCATCCACGCTCCTCCCAGCCACTCCCCGCTCACACTCCCCAAGCAGTGTTTTACAGTTGTTCTTTTAAAGCCCAAATGCACTCATCTCAACTGTAGTGATATTTTTTGTTTGAACAGATTTCTGAGCAGTCGGGGCTCATCTTTGTAGATAGCCAAATCAGAATGCTGTTTAGAAAGGACAGTGTTTGATTAGGATGTCAGGAAGTATGTTCCTTGTCCTCAGCTGGTAATGTGATTTTTAGAAATATGGTAAAAAAGGCTAACTATTATTCTCTTCCCCACCCCCTTTCTCTCTTTCTTTTAAAATTACCTTGTTCATAGTATATATTCTTCCAACTTCCATGCAGTGAAGAGGGAATCAGATGGGGCTCCTGGGGATCTCACTAGCTTGGAGAATGAGAGGCAGATTTATAAAAGTGTCTTGGAAGGTGGTGACATCCCTCTTCAGGGCCTGAGTGGGCTCAAGCGACCCTCCAGCTCAGCTTCCATGAAAGGTAATTAACAAAGTGAAGTCTGGCAAGCCTGTGTCTCTCACACACACCCATGTCAGCAGTGGGTGAACCTCCACACCTGGGACAAGCTCTGCCTTGTTCCCCTCCATGTCCAGACCTGGGAGCCCTCTTGTGTCCCCTCCCCTATTTTCTCGCCGGCCATTTTTCTTTCTAGTGTTAATGGTTTCCCATCTCTGAACCCCAACTTTGCTCTCCTTGAGGCATCTATCTCTCTCCTTTTTGTTCTAATTCCCTTCTCTAGAAATTAGCTGAGCTTCAGCCTTTCCTAACTGGCAGGGTGGCCATTTCTTTCGTTGCATCTTCACACCTGCTTCGCAGCACAGATTATTTTGCTTCCGGACATCGACTGGAAAATTTTTAAAAGCCCTTATGACAAATGAGCATGTTACCTCTTCTTTTTTTAATTTTTAGTTATTAGCAGCTTTCGGCTTTAACCTAATGGGTCTGTTTATTTTATTCTGCATGCTTACCAGTGGATCGTAAAGGTGGGAATGCTCACATGATTTCTTCATCTTCAGTTCATAGCCGAACGTTTCACACTAGCAGTGTATTAGGCCCTGGGTGTAAACACAAGAAGCCCCTGTCAGCTGCGAAAGCCTGCATTTCAGAGATCCTTCCTTCCAAATTCAAACCTAGGCTCTCTGCTCCCAGCGCTCTTTTGCAGGAACCGAAGAGTGTCCTGTTGCCCTCAGAGAAGGCTCAGAGCTGTGAAAACCTTTGTGTTTCTGTTTCTTTGAATGATTCCAAAAGAAGCCTCCCCCTCCAGGTTGGGGGGAGCATTGAGAACCTGCTAATGCGCTCCCGGCGAGATTATGACAGCAAATCCAGCAGCACCATGAGCCTCCAGGAGTATAGCACCAGTGCCAGGAGGCCCTGCGCTCTTTCCAGGAAGGCTGGGCTGCACTTTACCATGTTCTACCGAGACATGCATCAGATCAACAGAGCCGGCCTCTCCCTGGGATCCATCTCCTCCTCCAGTGTGCGGGATCTTGCCTCCCACTTTGAAAGGAGCAGCCTGGCATTGGACAGGGGTGAGCTGGGGCCCAGCCAGGAGGGCTCAGAGCACATCCCTAAGCATACCGTCTCTTCCCGCATCACTGCTTTTGAGCAGCTCATTCAGCGGTCCCGATCCATGCCATCCCTGGACCTGTCCGGAAGGCTGAGCAAGTCCCCCACACCTGTGCTGTCTAGGAGTGGATTGACTTCAGCCCGCTCAGCCGAGTCCCTCCTCGAGTCAACTAAGCTCCGCCCCCAGGAGATGGATGTGGTGAACACCGGTGGAGTCTATGCTTCCCCTACATGTAGCAATATAGCAGACCACACATTGGGTTTCAGGGGCCTTGTGCCTTCAGAGCCCCTCTCTACCTGCTCAGATGAGCTGGACCACTGTTCGAACATCTCCAGTGACAGTAGAGAGGGCAGCAGCAGCAGTATTCATGGAGACTTCCCCAAACATCGCCTCAACAAGTGCAAGGGGACTTGCCCTGCCTCTTATACCCGCTTTACCACCATCCGCAAGCATGAGCAGCAGCAGTCCTCTAGGCAGCCAGACTGGCGCTTGGATTCAAGGGGGGACAAGAGCGCCCTCCTAAGGAACATCTACCTAATGAGCCCCCTCCCTTTTAGGTTGAAAAAGCCCCTTCAGCACCACCCCAGGCAGTCTTCCCTTGCTGACTCCTCAGGCTTCCTGGTGGGCCAGAAGCCAGATCTCCCCAGTCAGCCCCATCCGGACCAGGCTCCCTCTGCGGGGAAGCCCTTGGTTCCCACCCGCCTGTCTTCCCGACACACCATGGCCAGGCTTAGCTGCAGCTCAGAACCTCCTCAGGAGAGACCTGTGGTCCTGGAGGACTGCTCACGGGCCATTAATAATGGGAACTCTGTGCCATACTCAGACCACGGCCTGGACAGAAACAACAACCCTCAAAGTGAACTGGCACCATCCCATGGAGGTGGCGTTCTGTGTGTTTGACCAGTCTCACCTCCTCTGTCTCTACTTTGCTTGCTTTGTCTCTTCCTCCTGTGTGCTTTTGGTGCTCACTTTCTGTTCTGTCCTTTGCTTCTGTTTGTTTTGCTTGGCAATTAACCATGGCTCATAGTGGCTGCACTTCTTTAAAAACAAAGCCCCATGTCATTTAGACTAACCACCAAACTATGTTTTGAAAGAAAAATTGGCCGTTTAGCTCATCTGAAAAATGTGTTCATTTGAACTCTCAAAACCCTTGATTGCACCAGTCCCTGACCCACCTGTGGTTTTTTGAGAGGCAGCCTTTTTCTGTGGCCCTGTGTGTGTGAGTGTATAGTTTGTCCCTATGAAAGCCTGCACGCCTCTTTGTAGGGATACTTAAAGAATGTCCTTTTCTTTTGCCTTTTGATGAATTTCTTTGTGTTTAACTAGTTTGCAAGTAAATCCAAAACTCAGGAGGGCAGGGTGGCTTGGATTTTTTCTTCAGAATTTGATTATTAATCATTTATCAACACCAACTATAAATATTTGATATTTATAACAAAAGGTGAAATCTTTTCCTAACCTTTGGTTTCCCACTAAACTTTTGTGTGCTTTAACTCTACTCTGTTGTTTTGAAGATTCCGAATCACCAAGACATTTTATACCAGCTGATTACTTGGAATCCACAGAAGAATTTATTCGAAGACGTCATGATGATAAAGAGGTAAATTTCGTCATTTAAATCTCTTAGCTCTTATACAGAAAAGAGCATAAAGGAATAAACATTCTAGACACCAGTCAGAGAAGTAACAAACACTTGAAGCAAAGTTTGGGGTCTTTATGGTGACTTTTTCTCCTTTAATTTACTTTAAAAAAAAAAAAAAAAGGGACTGATTTCCCCACAGGTTTTCAGTTATAAGTGCCCAGGTGCTGCTGCTGCATAGGAGATATAAAAAGAGGTTGTCCACTACCGCACCTACTGCCTCGTAAGCTGGGAGCTAAAATTCACCCATTCATTCCTCTTTGCATCCTCCCCCTGGTGTTTTGTAAGGAAATCTACCCACACATTTCTCCATTGCTGTCTACCCTTCTACTGGCACAAAGCATAGTTCAAATTGGGAAGGATGCAGCAGGAAAAAGCGAAAAATGAAAATAATGAGCATGGTACATTTTATAAAACAATTTGAGAAAATTGCCTATAACTCTGTTACTTTTAGTTAGGAAGGGAAATATCCCCATAAATTCTGGTAAGCCCTAGGCAAAAACCTCAGCACCTGGATATATAGGTGCACCTACTGAAATGTCTGTACAGTGGTGTGACTGGCAGAGTCTAGAAAAGACCCTGTTTTCCCAGAGATCTACACATCAGCCATTAAATGGGCAAGATCACCAGCGTCTGCTATGATAAAGCATTATGAAGCATATTTTCATTTTCCCAGGAAAAGGGGTCCTGTCCATTAAACAAGCTCAGTGCCTATTTTCCTATAATGAGAAATTATATTGAGTTAAAAGACGGAAGAATTGTTTGGAAATGATGGCAGTACGGGGAGGTGTTCATCATATTTGCAACTTGGACCCACCTCTTTATCTATGCAGCTCAGTCTTGAGTCATTCCAGAGTTTGGGGAAATTTCTTTACAGATTTAGGGTAAAGTTGACTTTGAGTAAAATGATATGATTATAGTCATTGCTGCCAGGTAGTGAGACAAAAGACCAAAAGAAATGAGTATAGCTCCCAGTCTCCAAGCACAAACAGTACTCTGTAAGACTACACTTGCCCATGGGAAGAAGCAAGAAGAGGAAGTATTTGATTTACAGAGTTTTTTCTGATAAGGAAATCCAAAACTCACAAATAGTTGTTCACCAGGACACAGAATAGTCATTTCTATAGCTGTTTCTTAAATATTTTCTATCACTAGTATATAAGATTCCCAAGTATGTAGGCCTAAGCTGCATGACTAACAAAGATGAAATTCAATTTTAGTAGTAAAACCCTAGGATCTACCTGGAAGGTATCGCGGTAGAGTTCTTACCTACACGGGCAGCACATTTTACTTGATTTAACAATGGATGTATTAGAAGTTGCACACAGAATGTGAGCAGCATGTTGCCCGAATGATGCCAGGTTGTAAATCCTAAAATTTTTTGTGTCTTTGCTGACATTTTTTGGCTTATGTGGTAAAACTGCTGGCCTGATGGACTTAATGAGGTCAGATTTAAGCACCAGGTTGGGTGCTCACTTGGGCAGCACATATGCTCAGCAGTGGGTTGAGCCACTTGGTGCTGGCTTCCACTGATGATGCTTAACTTTGGCCCCAGCACCAGGGGCTTTTAGCAGGGATACATGGCGGCCTCAAGCACAAGTCCGTTCTCACAGCTGCAGGAGCGATTCACTTCTCAGCCGAGGGGGTGTCCGTCTGAACTTTTTATGCAAATGTCTTATTATTAACACTGATTATAATGGTTTTTAAGAAAATGATAACATATGAGTCCTAGAGGGTCATTTGTGGTAATTTAGCCAACTCCCTTGTTTTACCCGGGAAAGGACCACAGCAAGGTGGTGGCTTGGCTAGAGCCACCTAGCAAGTTAACTTATACCGGAGGGAGAGCTAGAAATCAAGCCTGCAAGTTTCTGGGCACTGTGCTTTTCAAAGCACTTTCCTGTCTTTTCTCATATAATCTTTTGTTATTGCTGTTTTTGTTTAGGAGGGTTTTTTTTTTGTTTTTTTGCGAGAGGGCCTCCCTATGTAGTCCAGGCTGGCCTTGAACTTGCAGTGATCCTCCTGCCTCAGCCTGTGGAGTGCTGGGACCACACCTGGCTGTCATTTAATTTTTACATTTTACTGAGCGCCAGATATCTCAAATCCTGGAGAAAAATTGAGACCACTAACCCTTGGGGCTAGATACCACATGGAACATTTAATTGCCTGCTAGAAAAAAACTAATGTTTTACTGAGAATGCTGAGAATTTTAAGCTCTAATTAATGCTTTTCTATAAGGAACATTAATTCCAGGGATATAAGACTGCTGTGGTATAAGGAAACACATTAAGATTTCTATAGGGCTATTTCAATAGCCATTGAGGACATTTGCTAAGAAGCAGCATTATTTGATTATTTCAGAAGGTCTTTAAAAATAGAACTGGATAACTGTTTTATCAATTCATTCCAGATAGCATTATTCTTAGTTTATATCCGACACCATTCCCTTAAACTCAGCTTCATTTTCCCTAAGGGAGAATAGTTCAATAAGACAGTAAGGTTCTCTGTGAGCCGTGTATGTAGCTTTTTGTGCATTTCCTAAGGCCTCCTAAAAATTGTGCCTAGGGGGAAATGCTAGCTGCCCAAGGAGAAAAGATACCTTTGCTTCTAAATAAGGAGCTGCGCTCTGAAAAATCTATTAGATCGGCAGATAGGGGAAGCACAAAATGACCTGGCTGTCAGATAGGGAAATCCCATAGCTGAGTGCATCAGTGTGATGTTGGCAGGAGGACTCAGGCAGCCCTGCTCCTGCCCTGCACTACACTGCGGGGAGGTGTGGCTGTCCGAGTGGGGAGGGATGACACAGGTCCTGTTGCCCACCCGGTGTGCTCTGTGCCCTGGCTGACCTGGCCTTGTTTCCCCTGGTGTCTCCTGGGCAGTGCCCGCTCCTTCCTAGAGTGTGCAGGGTGGTTATGAGGGGAGCACAGTAACTGCAGGCAGAAGACATCTCACTCTCAAAGTCTCCCACCTGTTCGCCCAGCACCTTCTTCCTTAGTTCTTTTTGTTGGCAGCTTCCCAGTACCCTGGATCCCATGATTCACTGCCCATTTTATGCAATTTCATGGCAGAAACTTTTAGCGGACCAGAGACGACTTAAGCGCGAGCAAGAAGAGGCCGACATTGCAGCTCGACGCCACACAGGCGTCATCCCGACGCACCATCAGTTTATCACTAATGAGCGCTTTGGGGATCTCCTCAATATAGACGATACCGCAAAAAGGAAATCTGGGTCAGAGGTCTGTTTTGGTTGCCTCAAACTGCTGCTTGACCCAAAGCGATGTTCGCCTCCCTTCAGCATTGCCTTCTGTAGGCCAATTTAGTTCTCCAAACAGCACCTGTCATCCTGGCTCCCCTTAGCCTCGCTTGGGCTCTTTTATGGCTGGTGAATGGACACGAGCCCCGTTATGTCCTGTGCTCTGTATGTTCAAGCATGCCTGGCTGCGGGACTGGGATCTTCTGGCGCACACCCCTCATGCATGCTTAGAGCATATCAGCCGCCTTCATGAGTCCATTCTGTCCATCCTGCATTTTTCATGAGACTGTGTTGCCTGCGCATTTGCTGAAAAACCATATGCCTTAGGTTGTATACACTGATAACTATGGTGTGGAAAATTATAAGAGTTTTTATAGAGATGGTTAATGAAACATTACAAAGGTTAGCTGCTGATGCTTCATGCCATTTACAAGGACCTCAAAATTTAAGGATATTGCTATTGAAATATCAGAGAATAGCACTGTTCTGCATGTGCGGGTGGGTTGTGTGAACTGCTCAGTAGTACTGCAGCACCTTGCTGAGGAACTCTGAAAACCAAAGACTCACCCTGAGGCTGAACTTATAAACAACAAGCTAGCTCTCTGAGAGACATTTCATTTGTTCTTCTAATTTGGCATTTCTAAGCTTAGTTTCCAAAATCTTAATATCATAAAGGAATGAAGAAAAACAAAATCTTGAAATGATTTTTATCCAGGTCTTGGCCAACATGTTGGAATCCTTATGTGGGCCAAACGCTACTTTTGGGGGTGGAGTTTATGCTTTGCTAGGTAACTGTTAAGTAGCCTGCTGCTGCTGGTCTCTACTTGGGGAGCGAATGTGTCTGGGACTTGGGGTAGGTGACAGTGTGAAAATGTGACGCCCACAATATGTAATTTTACTGTATAACTTTTCAATATGGTAGGTTAATATTCATGTTTCTATCTTTTGAGCGACAGAAATGTCACTGCCTCCTTTTTTTTAAAAAAAAAGAAAGAAATAGAAGTAAAAGGAGATAAAGAAAAGCTGGGAAAGGGATATTCTGAAGTGTGGAGAAAAAGAAAATGTACCAGGAAGAAGCAAAAGCCAGCAAATGTTACTCAACCGCCAGCTCCTCAGCCTTCAGCGTGGCAGCTGCTGCTCAGAACAACCCTGTTCTGAAGGCTGGGGTGCTGGGTCACCCTCATTTCCTGGCTGCCTGCCTGTGAATGAGCGGGGAGATGGCCACGTGCAAAGGCACCCTAGAGATACGTATGAATGAAAGCGCAGTGTGGGTGAGATAACTGGACAGAGGCAAGCGCTGTCCTTGGGGACCCAGCCTCCCTCCTGGAGCAGCAGTTCCCTCCTTGGGTGCTCACTAGAACCTCCTGGAGACCTGTTAAAAAAAAATTCGTGAGCCCCATTTGCAAAGTTTCTAATTCTGGGTTGGGGCACAGAATTTGCAGGTTCCTAGGTGAGCCCAGGAGAAGGATCACATTTGAAGAATCATTGCCCTAGAAACTGACCGATAGACTTGAGAAAGTAGAGATCAGCAAGTACCAGGTGGACGAGTGTGTGTAGATGTGCTGCTTTCTTGTTCATTAGAACAGGAGTGGCTGCTAATTTTGTGTAAGACTCCAGGCAGGCAGAGACAGGACTGTCTAGGCCATGGATGAGCTGTTAGTGGAAGGCTCTCCCTTACTTATACTTATTTCTGTCCTGGAGTAAGTATTACAGTGTTGCGAGAGGCAGAAGCAAAGAATTTGGTGTCAAGAGTGATAGAAGAATAGAGAGAGAGCTGCTGTCCTTTGTATAGCCGTACATGTGTCCAAAGAGGTCAATGGATTCAAAGTTTCTCAGTTTGGAGTAATGTATGAATTCCTTTTAATGGAAAAAAAATCACCTGCATTATTAACCTAAGCCAATTTATAAATTGAATAGCCAATTTACGAGTTAAATATATACTTGTACAATGTTATTAATGTAGTTGATAGGTGATATCATTTTGACAGAACTCAGTTACCATTCAAAGTGTAAATATGTGCTGCTTTGGTATAAATTTCTTAGTGTTCCCCCAGCTCTACAGCTGGATGACAAAGGGTGATCTACCGACCCTCCCCCCTCACCCCCCATATGCTTTTTTCAATTGGAATCAATAAAATTTTTCTATATAATTGTGGTCATTGGGTTCCCTCTTCTGAACTTGTCATTTATCATTAATATCACATCAATTCTTTTCTTGTCTAACCACAACTGTTTTTTGTTTTTCATAGTACTAGAGATTGATCCCAGGAACCCATGTTTGCTACACAGCTCTCCACCACTGAGCTATACCCTCAACCCTTTGTTTTTCTTTTCCTTTTATTTTCAGACAGGGTTTTTTTTAAGTTGCCCAGAACTGGCCTTGAACTTGAGAACCTGTTGGTATAATAGATGTGTACCAGTACACCTGGCTCATACAACTGTTAAATTATGTTATTGGTTATAGATAGACACCAATATTGAAATTGTATAGCATTAGCTTGATTCTAAGATGATCATTCAGTTGGCCCCTAATAAATATGTGTACAGAGAGAAACATCAACATGAAAATACAAAATTAAAAGTTCCTATAGTGGATTCATGATTCCTAAGAAGACTGATTTCTACTTGATCCCAATATGAGGAGCCTGGAAGTATGGGGCATATCACGGAAGGACTGAAATCTAAGACCAAGCTTGATGAAACTTTTAAATACCATTTTTTTCCTCACCTAAAGTGTTCCTTTTTTCTACTCTGCACCTATCTTCTTGTTTTCGTCATGTTGTTTTTCTAGTCCGAAAGGTCATAGAAGTTGAAGAACCTGGAGCTGCTCCTGGCTGGGGGCAGAATTATACACAGCCAAAAATAACTTGCTCATGTATGTGATTTCTAACCGCCCCCCATTTCCTCTTATATATTACTTTTAAAGGTGAGGAAGAAAGATTACAAATAAATATGATAAATAAAGGTGAACTTCCTAGAACTGGAGCTGAAGAAATTGTCAACAGCAAAAGGGGTTTAGTGGAGGTGTAGCAAATAGGTCTTCCTGACTGGAGCAGGAAGCACATCAGAGAGATAAAGCAGTTAGGTAAGAGCGGGGGAGGTGACCCAAAGACCTCACCTGTGTCAGGGATTCTAAGTAACTGGATCTGAAGGGCAGTTGAGAAACCAAGCCAACATGAGAGCAAATGATGTGCAAGAGAATGTGAGGAATGTTGTGCTCCCGGTGACGATGGCATAGAGTGAAGGGAAGGCCAAAGGAGCTTTGTGCTTGCAGGAACCGGAAGTTGGAGCTGAGGGATGGAGGATGGGCAGGCCTGACTTAATGACAAACTTGATGAAAACATGGAGATGTGACCAAGGCTGACCTCCAGGCCTGGGTGTCTGGGAGGACAGGTGTCTTTAGGAGTAGTGACTCAGCCAGGATGACCTCATAGACCATAAGAAATACTCAGAGTTGAAAATGACATGAGTGGTGTATCGGCTTCATCTTCTTGCAGACCATAGTTCAAGTCAGACAAGTAGCTGCCCCTGAGGAGTGAGGCAGTAGGTAAGGTGCATCTTAGGTCTAATGGCTGACTGGAGTTTTAATAGCTATGGTCATGTTTTAGGGAACCAGTGTTTCTTTCAGATATAAATTCTGACCCTCTTTAGGTAAATTCTTGTGCATGACTCACTGGCTAAACATCCATCTAATAGCCTGCAGTGGTTAGACTCTGGAATTCTTCCCAGATTTCTGTATCAGAATGAACTTGCTAGTGTCAGGTTTTCTGCTTTGCTTTTTAGAAACTTGTAAAGGTGCATTCTTTTTATTGTTCATAAATCATGATTTTAATTTGTTTCTTGTGTTTAGATGAGACCTGCCAGAGCCAAATTTGACTTTAAAGCACAAACACTAAAGTAAGTGCCACCAGTCACATTTACTTGCTTTCTTAGCTATCTTTTTGAAATACAGCAGTGCACTTGTAAAGTTGGAGAAATCATAACTGGGGTTAAAAATAGAGAGTAATCTATGTGCAGGCACTGGTTAAAGTATGTTTCATGTGATAACTCATGTATCCCTTAGGAATCAGGACTGAATCCTATGGAGTAGTTCTGATTATTATCCCCACTGAACAAATGAAACCGAGGGACTTCAACATGAAGGAACTTGGGTCAACAAAATTGACCATCTTTCCCTGGGACTTCTCCGATATTGTGCTGTGCTCATGTATACAATGATATTCCAGCAAAGACTTGAAGTGTATCATGCTGTTGTTGCCCAGGCCTTACCACCAGACCTGGTTCTATGGTTCTCTGCGAGCTAAGAAAGATGGAAGCCCCAGAGGCACTGTGGTATATTTCCAGTAGTTACAACTACAGACACCTCCAGGTTCCTTCCCTCACATGCATTGTCCTCCTACTCAGGGTAGCAGACTTAGAAGCCTGTGCACTTCTAGCAGGGGGAGATGTGCAGAGGGTCTCGCTCCTCCTTGTACCCACAGTTGGAGATTATAAGAGGGGAAAGTCAGAACACACCAAGGGAGGGGTGTGGCAAAAATATAGCTGGCTCGAGACATTCCTTCTCAGAGGGACAAGTGCCACTGATCCTCTTCACTCTTCTTCTGGGATTAGAATCCTGTGTCTAATACAAGACCCACAAAGCTGCCTTGTGCTTTTATTTAGCACAGGGTCGACTGTGTAAAGTTTTCCAGATGTCCCTGTTGTTCAGCCAGCATCTCTCCTGCCGCCTGGGACTTCCTGGCACACTGCAAAGAGGTCACACCCTTCGAAAGTACACTCAGAGACCTTCTCTCCTGTGCTGCTGCTTTGATACATATGAAAACTATGTCATTTTTTTAATTCAAGAAGTTTCAAATTATAATTTTTATTCTACTCTTAAACTTTTATTTTGTTTATAGTTTTTCTCTTTGTCTCATTTTGGAGAAGGGTGAGAAAAGGTCTCCTTTATATAATTCAGACTGGCCTTGCACTCAATATGTAGCCCAGGTTGGCCTCCAACTCACAGGGATCCGTTTCTGCCTCAGCCTCCCAAGTGCTGCGATTATGGCTATGTGCCACCACACTTGGCCTAAGGATAATTTAAAACAATTCAGGCATGTCTTGCTAGACAGAGAAGAAGTAGTGGGACCTAAAAGAAGAGGAAATTTTTTCTTCATTTAATAAACATCAGTTAAGATAGTTGGGTGCACTGCTGTGTGGTGTGTTGATATTCTCTGCATTAAGATAGCATTCACAAAAATGCACTGAGCAAATGGCAACAAACTAATAAGGCTTCTGAGCACTTTTAAGTGCTACTCAGTTTGTGTGTGAACACTCTTCCTGCAAAAGACTGGACAAAATGTGCCGCGTGATGTGATTTCCTGAATAGAGGTTTTCTTCCAACTATGGAGCTCACTCTTCTGTAATTTGTCCCCTTTGAATCTGCTTGAAGTCTAACAAACTTTTATTAACAAACTTAAGTGTCTTAGCCTTGCATATATGAAGCATCTTCTAAATGTTCTGACCCTCTGTCAACAGGGAGCTTCCTCTGCAGAAGGGAGACATTGTTTACATTTATAAGCAGATTGATCAGAACTGGTACGAAGGCGAGCACCATGGCCGAGTGGGAATCTTCCCATGTACCTACATTGAGGTATTACAGCCCCTTGTCATTGTAAGGAAAAGCCCGCTCATGCCCAAAGCACCATTATTTACCAAGTACTTGTGTTTTGCTCCCTTCCATTCCTCTTCCTCTTTTTCCTCTTTTTCCATTTTCTTTTTTTTCAGCTTCTTCCTCCTGCTGAGAAGGCTCAGCCCAAAAAGTTGCCGCCTGTGCAGGTTTTGGAATATGGAGAAGCTGTTGCTAAGTTTAACTTTAATGGTGATACACAGGTAGAAATGTCTTTCAGAAAGGTAAGCTGCCCTTCTCGTCCTGTGCTTTGGGGCTGTCTTGGGTGGTGCCATTAATGTGAGGAGTGTGACACTGGCATTGTCTGACAGTCTGTACCCTTAAGAGATGTACACCAACCAAAACTTGCAGTAAGGGCAATTAGAGAATTTTCTGAGGTCAGATATTTTAAAAGTAAACTCTAGGCTAAGTCAGGGTTTAACCACATTGAGTTCTGGGTTAAGGGAGTATTTCTGGAATCTTGGACACCTTTCATAAACTACCCAACCAACTTTTAGTGAGCACTTAATGCTGTGATGAGCCCTGTGTTGGCATCTACATTGACAGCGTGTCAATGGCTTAGTGCGAAAAACAAGTCCTTTAATATCAGGAGGAATTTGAAAATCTTTGAATTCAGAACCTATAAGTGATCAGCTGTGTATCTTCTGGGGAGTTAAACATTCTGCCTGAGCTCTCATTGCCACATAGATAAAAATAAAGATAAATGACTCTCTGTCCGGTGGTTGTAAAAGGCTTAATGAAGTAGCATCTGGGAAACTGCCAGCATGGCATGCGGCATCTGGTTGGTGCTCAGTAAAGCGGAGATGCCAGTGTTATCACCATCCTTACTGCCTTGGAGGAACTTAGCATGTTGGTTGCGAACACACTTACGCTGTGCAGAGGAACTGTTCTTCCCAAGGATCCACAGCTCTCTACATGTCAAAATTCTCTGGAAGCAACCTAATTGCCCAGCAGCAGAGAATCAGTAATGAAATCATTCATGTGTGTAGAATTCCCTATATTGGTCCACTGAGCTGTACAACACTGTTAAAAATGTAGAATTATGTTTCTTGATAAAGAAGGACGTTCAGTATTTATTGTCAGTCTAAAAACAAAGCATAGGAAAAGGGAAGTACAGTTCCTATTCAATTTGCATAGGAAAAATATGGACAAATCTAATTCATGTGCATAGTTACATGTGGAAAGTGTATATGTCACGATATTTTCTCCAAGCGATAATTGTTTTCTATTTTATGTTTACTTCTAACTTTTGTGTAATAATACATGAAAAATAAAGTTAAAAAAAGGAAGAAAAAGGGAACCATCCAAAGTCTTTACCTTACAGGTCATCTATTTTGCTTCTAATGAGTCAAAGCCACTGCACTTGCCTTTCGCCTTGGCAACATGAATTTGATCTTTTTACTAAAATACTTGAAGATCGCAGTGACATTAACTCCATCAGCAGGGCAGATTGCTCCTCACCAAAGGATGTGATAAATGATACAGGACTGTCCAGGTGCAGGCAGGGGCCTCAGGTTCCTGAGGTATGGAGGGACAAGGACCTTTGTCTTGCTGTGTGTTCCAGGGTGAAAGGATCACACTACTTCGACAGGTGGATGAGAACTGGTATGAAGGGAGGATTCCAGGGACTTCCCGACAGGGCATCTTCCCCATCACTTATGTGGATGTGCTCAAACGGCCACTGGTAAAAAACCCTGTGGATTACATTGACCTGCCTTACTCCTCCTCTCCAAGTCGCAGCGCCACTGCCAGTCCTCAGGTATGTAAGCTCGTCCTCACTGTTTCCTCACTGGAACACATGCTCAGCAGTGCCAGTGGCACACAGCCCCTCTGGGGTGGTTCTGGAGCACTGTGATTATGCACTGCCTGTAGCAACGTAGACTGTACACTAGGGTTTGTTTTTGTGTGTACATGTGACACTTTTCCAGCGCTTGGTAGGAGAAAACTCTCAGGAGGAAATGAAGAACTGCCCTGGAGATTAGGTGAGTAGAGAAAGAGAAACAAGGGCATTTATTAGTTAGGGGTAGAAGTTGGTAGTATTGATACCATTGCTATATCATAAGTCCTACGCTCAGGATGGGTCTATGCCGTGTTGTCAAGACTGGCTTGCAGAAGACAAAAGTAGAATAAGAATGTCATAGTTTCATTCTTAGACTTGTCGACCAGATCCAAAGTATTTGTATAAGCATTCACTTGAACCAGGTTGGAACAGGCACTTACGAGGTATGATCAAAAAACACAGTGAATATTTAATTTAAAAACTTTATTACAGTAAATAACACATTGCAATTAATGTCTCTCAAAATACTCCCTTTCATTTTGAACACACTGATCCAGTCATTCTCACCACTTTCTGAAGCAGTTCTGGAAATCCTTTTTCCTGAGTGTCTTTTAGTTGCAGTGTTGTGACAATCTTGATGTCCAGAATTGATTCAAACCATTTACCTTTCATGGTCATTTTCACTTTGGGGAAGAGCCAGATGTTACATGGTGGCAGATCCAGTGAACAGGGTGGGTGAGGACACACTGTAATGTTTTTGTGAGCCTGCCTTTTGCTTGGATGGCAGTGCACAGCAGTGTTCACCATATTTTTGATCATGCCTCATAAATATACAAAAGAGGACTTCTGGAACTGCAGAATGTGACAGAGGCATAAATGTATTTGTGGTGGAGTTGAGGGTGGGTGGAAGTATTGTGAGAGGGATTGTGTCTTTTACTGAAATAAATTTTTAAATTTGAAATTTGCAATACCATATTTTTCGATCACCCTCATAAGTCTATACTAATCTGTGTTTAGGCCTAGAAAGCTGTTTGTTTTTCTAGACATTAATTATGGAGAAATTTGTTTTAAAATCTGTTACTCCAAACCCATGCCCACTTTCCCAAAGCCATGAAAAAACTTGAACTTTAAGTTCAGGAGAGGTATAGTTGGGGCAGTATCCTGTGGAATAAACTGACCATCTTGCTATGCAAGTTGTAGGGAGCACGGACAGGGGACCCAGGGCAACACTGCAAGGGTGCCTCTTTTATTCTTACCCTTTAATCATTCCCCCCCTCCCACCTGTTTATCACTGACCCCAGTAGAGGGCTCTTGACATAAAGCATTCAACAGACTTCCTGCACAGTGAGGCCCACATCCTGCTGTTCTGGGAGAGGGTGTGAGATTGGAGCAGGACATCTGCTTTGTGATAATGTGGACAACTCAGCTGGGGTTTTCATGTGACTATAACCAAGGGTGATTGTAAAACAGATTGCTGCAGTACTCTTGCTCCTTTCTGGGAGCCTCTGCCGAGCCCCCTAGAGAGAATAAAAGCCCAAGGAAGAGCCAGAAGAGTGGTGTGCCCCCAGTTTTGGCCCAGGGCTCCAGTTGCAGGGATGGCTGGTGGGCTGGGGTGTGGCCTCCCGGTATGTCCCTTTGAAGTCTGAGTCTGCAAGGCAGACTGGCAGCCTCTGTCACTGTCTAATGGGAACATGTCCCATCTCCATGCCGCTTGGCTCTGCTGCTGCTCCTTGCCTGCGTGTACTAGTACACTCACACACACACACATCCCCATTTCTTTCCAAGCCTTGCCAGGGGATTCCCTGCTGGACACCAGAGTGTCCACACCCTCTCCTTTTCATTCCTCTTTGTGCCTCTTGTGATTATTTTCTTCCTTTTTCCTTTATGCTGACACTTGTTCCTTTTACTTCTTCCTTTTGTTTTCTTTTTCTTCTTCTCTTTTTAAGTGCCCCAGTCACAGCAGGATCATCATGCCAGCCCCCTCATCTCTGCCCCATCCCCGGAGAGCCCTGTCCCCTGAGATGCACGCTGTCACCTCCGAGTGGATCTCGCTGACTGTAGGGCTCCCAAGCAGGCGTTCTCTGGCCCTCACTCCACCCTTGCCTCCTCTGCCCGAGGCGTCTGTCTATGACATGGACCACTTCAGCTCGTCAGCGCGGGCCTGTCCCTCCCTGCCTATCAGCCTCCCTCATGGGAGTTGGTCAGATCACTCTACTCCACACTCAGTGGTTTCCCCATTGGCCTTGCCTGCTCCTCAGAAAGCCTACTCACTGGCCCCAAGCTCACAGGCCTCTCTTCATGTCAATGGAGATGGTGGCTTCCACATGCCATCTTCAGGCATTCGCGGAGATAGCTACTCCCAGCCACTCTTTGGGAGCTCTGATAGGGTCATCTCAGAGCTTAGCGGTGCCTTTAGCAGCCAGAGCAAACTGCAGCCCTGGCAAGAAGAGAATGAACAATGTGAAAGAAAAGCAGAGAGCAAGGCAGGTGAGAGATGCCCTGGTGGACCCAAGATCTCTAAGAAGAGCTGCTTGAAGCCTTCAGATGTGGTCAGGTGCCTGAGTACTGAACAGAGACTCTCAGAGCTCCGCACTCCTGAGGAGAGCCGGCCCAGCAAGCCTCTGGGCAGCACTTTTCCAGGAAGGGAGGCGGGGCAGACAGGACTGCATAGAGGTGGCGAGGCTGAGAGGAGAGCTGCTCAGAGTGGTATGAGCCAGGTAGGCCTGCAGCATGACCGGTTTGTACTTGGCATCAAAATTGGTAGGGTGGGCTGGATGTCTTGCCCCTGGTCTGTCAATCAAGGCCAAGTGGATGCTTGTGAGACCTGTTTGCTTGCGTTGGGAGCAAAGCGATATCCCAGGTGGGGAGTGGAGGGGACACTGATTAAAGTGTTAAGGCTGGGGAAAGTTGGAGGAAAAGGTCAGGCTATGTTCTGGCCCCTTGAGGTGATTCAGAAGTATCCCCCTATTGGCTGCTCGTAGCCTGATACAAAAGCCCATGAAAAGGAAGGCCTCCCTTATGTCCCGTTCATGCTTTAGAGATTATCTTTGGTTTGCTCTGACTAACATGGCTTTGAACACCAGGCGTTGGTGTGATGTGCTGTGGTGTGGTTTTCTGTGATGTGCACTTTGTTTTCAATAACTCGTGGTGCGCTGCTAGTGCTTAGTTATGTCAGTCAGGTCTCTGTCCTGTCTTTTGTTTGTGTGGGAGCACAGGCCTTTGTTCACAATGAACAAAGGCGTTTGGTTCTTTGGAGGAGCGTGTGTCCCCCTGACAGGCTTGGGGTCATTAAGTGGATCTGCCAGGGTTTTGAGTGATCCATCTTCTTTCTAAGTCAGCTACAATAATTTTAGAGTTTGGACTAAGGGACCTTCAGGGTATTTTGAGTGCAGAAAATTTTTAAGGGAAAATGAATTTGGCAACTGGACAGATCATGCTTCTAATTTTGGCTGTGTTGTTTACTACCTAGAAAGCAAAAGACTTTGGGCAGCTTCTCCACAGAAAGTAGGCTTGAGTACCAGCTCAGTCCCTTACTGTGATGATGGGAATTATTTACCTTCTCTGGGACTTGGTTTCTTCATCCATAAAATGACGATAGCATCTATCTCATAGAATGATTGAGACGATTTCTCAAAATAATGGATGTTAAGGCTAAGCAGAGCTGGGAACATGAGTGACACTTTGTGAAGGGAAGCTATCATGCTACTATACTAGTGATCTTTTGGTGGCTGGGACCAGGATGTTTGCTGCCACGACAGAAACAATTTAAAAGAGAAAATGTTCCCTTGGCCTCCCAGTTTCAAATGCTGCAGTCCATGGTTGTGTGGCTCCAAGGTCAAGGTGCTTGGCCTCATGGCAGAGGAAAGCTGCCCAGCTCATGGTGGTCAGAAGCAGAGAAACAGTAGAAGAGATCCAATGGAAGGGGCTAGAGACCAGCCAGTCCCCGCTGTCACGCTCCCATGATCCATCCAGACAAACCCAGAAGTGTGCTTTACTAATGCCCTGGGCATGTCAAATCCAATCAGATTGGCAGTCGAGATTCACCATCACTGCAACCATTTTGGGTGATCTAGAATTGCTTCAGAGCTGAGGATATTCTGCAATCTCTTTAGAACCAGGTGGGTTTATAGAGATGTCTCTAAAACCATTTATTTAGTAGCTGTTGTATATGCTGCGCATAATAAACTCTGCTCAAACTTCAGGCTCACAACCTAGTTTTCTTGTGAAGCTTTACTGATTCAGTCTATAAGCATTAATTCAAGACCTGCTGATACTAGCTTCTGGGCAGGGTCCAGAAGTCACTGATCCCTGATCTTGAGGAGCTTATGTTCAGCAAGACAGGCAGGCACAGCAGTGGCACCAGAACAGTGACAGGACCAGAGAGGCCAGAGACATACAGTAATACCTCAGTTCATGAACGCTTCTGTTCACAAATAAAAGCATTCAGCAAAAGTTTGCTTCATTTGCAAACTATACATCAGGAGACAAACATGGCCATAACCATCTTCCCCATGCAAACACAAATGTACCCGTGTTCCCCAAAATTGTAAAACAAATTAAGTTCATAAACCGAGGTACCAGTGTACCAGCCCAGACCTCCAGCTGCAGGCAGTTCACAGGCTAGAATTACCAAGAGAGCAAGGGGAGGGGAAGGGACAAAAAGAGGTGCACATGGGGTTGGGAGGCTGAATAGGAAAGGAAAACTAATTTTCAATAAGCCTGACAATCTCTAGTGTTGCCAGCCCTTGTAGTCCTGCCCTCTGTTAGGAAGCAGCACCGTGGTGTCTCAGAGCACTAGCACCGTATGCAGGAGTGGGATCACTGGAGGTAAGCAGTGTGGGATAGTTTATAAGAAATTGGGCTTGGCCTTTTATTAGTGGGCCCCTAAGCCTCCTTGAGCCACGGTTTTCCCACGTACAAAGGAGGAGTGGAAGTAGACCCCCGTTGGTAAAGTAGTTGTACAGATGAAATGAAGCAATGCATTTGTCAAAGTGGGGGCTTCCTGCTGCCATTGCAGCAGTCTGTTGTCTCATCCCAGAGTGTGGGGCTTCAGGAAGCAGCCCTCCCTGGCAGAGGCTACACCTGACCCCAGAACAGATGCATCCAGAATGTGCATTCTGTGAGGAAGCAAAATGTAGGTCATTGGAACAGGTGGTAGGGTAGCTAGTTGAAAAGAATCAAGTGTCTCTAATGTAGCAACAGTTCACACTTAAACACAAAGCACTAGGAGCCTTCTTACCCTCAGTGGTGAGTTATCATCACAGCCCCGTTCCAGGATCCAGTGTGTATAGGAGCTGCATGGTGCTGAACTTCTGAGTGAGGTTAGGGGCTTACACTTCCTGTTTCCTAGTAAAAGACAGGAATGGAGTAGCTGGCAACACTGGAGTCTTCCAGGCTTATTGAAATTTTGTTGTCCTTCCTGGTGGGCCTCCAGACCCAAGTGTACCACTTCTTGTCCCCTCCCTTGCTTTTGCTCTCGTGGTGCAAGCTTTTTCCAAGGATGTGACTGGCCATTGGTCCCGAGCTTGCTTCCTGGTGCAAGGTGTGAGGTTGTGTGGAGGGCACCTGCCCATGCAGGTCCCCCTCAGCTGCTGTCACTTTCCCTCCTGTGGCAACTTTGGAACTGGGACCCTTCACAAGGGACTGCTGCCTCTCTGGACTTTGTTGGGTGACAGAAGCTAATAATGGAAAGGACTTACATGACTGTTGCTCTCTAATGGTCCTGTAAGGATACCACGACATCAGGCTGTGTCATTTGTTTGGATAAATGCATTCTAGACCAATTTTTGTATGAAGAACACTGCCAGCCATTATTCTCCTTCAAAACCGAAGATTAAGTTCATTGTAGGTTTGGGAAACTACACTGAGTTAATGCCCAGTAAATAGAGAGATTTGTACCTGATAGCCTTAAATGAAATAATAGCATGAAATGTTACGATTATTTATTTTCTTTCAAGCATCTGGTATGTTCCAGGCGCTGTGTTAAATGCTTTAAGAGATTGAGAGGGATGAGTACCATGAGGGGCTTCCCATTGCTGTCAGGAAACTTCTCCTTCCTGGCCTCAGAAAACCACTTAGGGGGCAAGCCAGCCTCGTGTTCCAAAGCCTCCCTGACTTGTTTGTTTGGATAGGTCTCACCTGTCCTTCACGTCTCCATGGATGTTACTTTCCTGACAGCCTCCTCCACCCCTGTAAACTCAGTGAAGCCTCTGACTGTGCTGTGTGAGCCCTGTACCTGGCTTACTTGGGTACTTCTTAGCCCTGTCATCATTGCCCTTTTGCTTGCCTTTGTCCCTGTGGAATGTTAAAGGCAAACCCTAGATCAAGAACTATGATATCTGATATATATGAAAGGTGCTCAGTGAATATTTGTTGAATGAAAAAAGACAGAAAATGACTAACCGCTAAAAGAGTTCATGACATCTGGGGAAATCAGGCCCTTTCACAAGTAAATATAATGCAAGCAAAAGAGTCACAGAAAGTCTACACTGTAAGTTTAAGATGGGGAAAAATGATAAGCAGCAGGAGGAAGAAGGTGGTTATCTGGAAATATTCGTGAGAAAAAAGTAGCATTGGCCCTTAAAGAATAAGGAGTTTTCCAGGGGTAAACAAGAGGACAGTGTGGAAGACATATACCGCAGAGGTAGAAACTGAAAGATGTGTTTGGGGAATGGTGCGTTCCCGGTTTGGGTGAGGCTTCCAGTATCTGCACGTGAACAGATGGGAAACTCCAGGAGGGGAGCTGGGGTCAGAGCTTGGAGGGAGCTCTTTGGCACCTCTGATATTCATCAGCGTCTGCTAACCGTGCGTGGAATCATCCACTTGCAGTCCCTGCTCCACTGCTTTCTGTACCCTTAGCCACCGGCTCCCAGCACTCTGTGTATTTGTAAACACTTCCGCTAAAAAGGCTTGGTTTTGCACTACAAGGTTGCTGTCACGTTGGTTCAGCTGTTCAAGTTTTAAAGTTCAGGTTTTCTTTCTGAATAGCTGAAGTGGGCGAATGAAGTGCAGGTGTCTCCAGGGGCGATGGGGGGAGCGGGGAGAACATCGTGCTGAGTGTCAGGGTACTGATTGGTAGCTCTAGCTCTGCCATTCGCCTGAGGAGAGACTTCAGATGAGTCACTTCTCTTTCCTGGCAGCCTTCTGTCCATGAACAGAAGATCCAGATGAGAGAACTGAAGTCCCTTTAGCTTTGATAGTCTATGATTAGATGAAAATCTTGTATGAATTTTAGTTGAAATGATAAAGAAAAACACAAAATTTTAAGTAGGGGATGCGTTATATACCTCCAGACTATTGAAGAATGAACATTTTCCTTTCATTTGTTTTTTGAGGACAACTTAATTGGAGAAAACATACTCAAAGACACGTACAAAATACCCAAGAGTTCACATTATCAAACATGGTCTTGGATTTTGGTGGACATAATTTTGACCAACAGAGTGTCAACAATTGAACAAAAACATTAAAAGGAAGATCATCTTGGAAATCTGCATCATTACCATCGTCAAATATGTGCTGAGTTTCCCCATGATAGAAGCATTGTTTGCTGATCAGCATCTAGCCAGGGATTGTAAAAGTTGCTGCAGTTTGTGAGCAAGTTCTAAATTGCTTCCTCAAACAAGTTCTAAATTAGGAAGAATCCTTAAAGACCATCTGTCCCACTGGCATAACTTTTTCTGCATCACAGAACGTCTGAGGATCAGAGGCAGGCAGT